ATTTGTGAAATGTGTCAATAAAACGTAGATTTTATGTTAATTGATTGTATTTCTACCTGTAGAATATCAATGACTGGGACAATCATCAGTCAGTAATTGGGACATGCGTCTTTTTGAGCTGTCAATAATTGGTACAAATGTGTTCTCCGGTTTTTTTATTTTTCTAAATCAAAATATACTTTCACAACAGTCGTAATATTTTTTTATAGAAACCTAAAAGCATAACTATTAATAGTATGTATTTATTTTAGAGCAATATCTAATTCCCAAAATTCAATAATTTTTTTAATGTCAGAAATATCTCAACATACGCTTAAGATGTCAGTGATTGGTACAGTTACCTTATATTTATTAAATTTTATATGAACTTTTGGGATCAAATGATTAAGACTGATTTTGTTTAAAGTTTTACTATCTAGACGCCACTGTTAAAATGTTTGTGATATAATCAGCTAATCAGTAATCGATAGTTTCAGAATTGTCTGTCTAATAAGTGAATTCCCAACGGACGACAGATAGACATAAAAAATTGTGAAACCTAAATTTTCGCATTTTGTTTGCTATGACACGCTAAGAAAACATACAAGTCTACTATACATTTTTTCAGTGGAAAAAGACACATGTGACTCTAAAGATAGCTCTGTCTTTGGAAGCAGAATTTTATGATTGCTTTCTCATAACTTAGCAAAAATATGAACTGAGTATTATCTTTACATTTACAACTTACTGAATGCTACTTAATACTGACCTAGTGATTCTTCAAAAGTTCTTTTTACTTGTAGAAAATTACTGTCAATGACATCATATTGTAAGCCACTTAACTAACCTCTACTAACAAAAACAAGCTACAAACTCAAGAAAGGTCGATAGTTTACCACTGTTTTAAGTCTAAATTACTTTGTAAATTGCCTATTTGGATTTCTCTGTTGGTAATTAAGCAACAATAATAATATTAATAATAATAATTTTTATTGCCCAATAGATAACTCTATTACAAGACAATATAAATCAAATAATAAATAAAAATTAAAAATATGTATTTAACTAAAAAGTTAAAGATCGTAATTAACACAATATGCCTACCCTGCAATATAATTTTTTTAACAATAAATAATACTTTGCCTACAATATACTTATCTAATGTCTCTGATATTAAGGACCAAATTCAGCCTAGTCTTACTAAACTTATAATGTGGTTATGATTCAGAATGGTAGTTTCCTTTCGCATCTCTACACTACTATAACTGCAAGAAGTTGTAAAATTGTTTACTTCACAAACCTGTAACATGGGTATTACAGAAATGTAAGTGAATTTACTTTTAGTTTCACCGACGAAATGAAATGATAATAATTGTTGAAGACATAACTTTAAAACCAGGTAAAAAGTTGGTCCAACGTTATTTAGACAGGACAGAACAGAAGTATATAATTTTATTAGGTAAAAATAAAACTGACATAATATACCGGTAAACATTCAAAATCACTTATTTAGTTTCAAGGGTCGAATAGATACATTTCTCGTAAGGCCTTTCCGACTGTTCAATTTTGAATTTAGGTAGGTAAGTATATGGTATTGTTACGATAATTGGTGATTGAAATCGGCGTGGGTAAAACTCAACAATTTATTTCTCAACAACTCAAATTTTCACGACTGATTACACAGCGATTATGTACAAAATAATTCCGGCGCAACTCGACTTGTTAACTGAATAATAATTCGTCCCCAACGGTGGCCGCGCAGTCCCTTTCGAAACGCCTCCGTCACCGCTTCTAGACTTGTTTGGAGCACCCACCACGACTTCCACTGCCAGGCTTTTCTTTAGCGAACGCCGCCCGGCCGCCGTCACCGACGATGAGTCACCCGTCATCGCCGCATGTACTAGAAAACCCACAGGCGTCGTATGGGTTTATTTCGTAACAGTATTCTGCCATTTTTACGTTTTCCCTAGCGGATACACTATTTTCACCTTCTAGTTGAAAAGCGTTGTTAATCTGACCTTACAACCGTTTTGTGGTTTACTTAATGGGTTTTACTGAAGAGCTATTTTTTTATAGAATTAAAGTAGTAATCACTGTAATTTTAGTTGAACTTTATACTTAGTGACAATGAGTAATGATATTCATACAAAGTAGCACTGGTGGGAGTGAATAAATTTACGCATTACAATTTTGTATATTATACATTGCAAGAAAAGTTTTTTTTTATTTTTAAAACGCGATTGCCCAAAACATACATTTATTTCGCTGGGAGCGATCCTTTTCTTATTATTAGATAAATAAATTTCAATAAAACCCGTGCTTTATGAGATGACTCTGTTACGACCCTATTATTTATTCTGATTCAAATCTATACAGTTGTATCTGGTGTTGAATTCACACAAATATTTAACTTGAGTACTTTCAAGTAAATAACAATTATTTGTATTCATGAATAGAATTGAGTGTCCACCAATTTATACCAGTTACACCTTCAAGGTGTGAAAAATGTGATAAATAGTTTCTTTTTGCTACGTACTTACACCATTTGTACATTATAAAATATCATATGGGTGATCGAAAAAAAGTCCTCTAGTAGCCAGTGAAAAATATTTTTAAAATAATGATGTGTATTTACAATATTCGTATGTTTTTGCAAAATTATTTGTCAATAATAATTATAATTAAGAAATGACCTGTTATTCTCGACCAAAAATTCAAAAAATTGGCCGAAGGTTATTTCGACAGAACTTCCCCCGCTTATACAGTACAGTCGAACAAATACTTCGAAAAATTATAAAATTTTACTAATCTTAATTTTTTACTGTTAAAGTACAGGCAAAGGAACATGCTATGCGTAGAGTTTTTCCATAACAAAATTTTGTGATCACGTCATCAACATTTTTCCAAAGACACGTACATTAATTTGGATGCATGCAATGTAATACTAATAATAACAGTACTGTTTTTCCAAATTTTCGGGAAAAAAGACTCGATGGTTCTTGATTTCATCAATAAAATAAATTGTTTTATTCATTAATTAGTCACAAGTATAGAGTCATAATATTTTGCATATTTCGACAAAATTTAGAGACAACGTCATAAACGTTTTGGGACGAGACAAACGAATTAATTTTGATTAACTATCTATTTACCATCATGACGATAATTTGAAAACGTTTGCAAAATTTCAGAACATTCGATTTTTATAGTGTTTTACCATTGCTGTTTTTACATGATATTCTTAATTAACATACGTACAAAATTTGGCAACAATCGGTTCAGTAGTTTCAGAGATTATCTGTCTAATAAAAATCGACACAGACAGACGAAAACATGAAACCATTTTTTTCGTACTCTTGGGGTTATGAAAGATCGAGAAAACATGAAACTGGCAAGTCGCCCGATGGACTCGATTGCCATACTTCCTTAGCTACGCTCGGGAAGTAAAAATCAATTTCCTAATTCATGTCACCTTGTGTGAGTAACATTAAAAACTATGAATCCATTGCAAACCACAAATAAAGCGTCATAATGTTTTGCATATTTTAGATAGAATTTATTCAAAATTTTGAGATGACGTCATTCATTTTTTGGGAAGGGTAAACGGATAAGTTTCGATTACGGATTCACCATGCTTACGATAACCGTAATATTATGTTGGTAAGAGTTTAGAGCATTTGGTTTTGCAATTTCAAAGTTAATTTTTAAAATGTCGTTATTTAATTTTGATTTCTACTTACCCAGCGTAAGTACCTGTCAAAAATGGTTCAATTTTTTAATTCTAAAAAACATTTGTTAGGTATGAAAATTGAATCGATAATAGAGCACCTACCTACTCGATGATCACCCCGCAACCCAGATTTAAGGTCTTTGGGTTTATTGTAAGAAATATTTAGTCAACTCAATAAAAATCATCATTAGGTATAGCACATTTCAGTGATTGGAAACTGCAGTCTACAGATTTTATTGAGTTGTCTAAATGTTTATTGGTATAAAACATATTAAGAATGTAGGTGTAACTCAGCGTCCTATGGAAGTAGCTGTTTCCACTGGTTGGTACACGTTATTTAAAAATTGCCGTGTTTGTGTCAAAAATGATAATAGGACCCAGTGACTCACTACCGACACATCTCTTTGTATACATCTCGCTAACCTAGATTTATTATTTGGCGATGTATAAAAAAATTGGCGTAATTGCGACCCCTTTCTGATTTAGAAGGCAAAAAACTAAATTGGGAATATTTGAGTCTTTTTAACGCATGATACCCTATATGATGACACCAAATAAGAAAAATATATTTCAAGTTCTGCAATAATGAACGTCGACCAAATAATTTGTACTGGGCTTATTTGAACATCTCATAAACCTCCTTGATTACCTATATGTATTAGCTACTTAGAACCTTTTACGCCTATAAAAAAAAACTTAACTCGCTGTAAAATTTTACACGTTTTCTTTCTACTTTAATTAACATTGTAAAGTGTTTTTTGATCTATGCACATCTCACTAAACCCATATGTCAAAACACTTTGTGGTTGATATTTCAAAACAGGAACTTTACAACTTATAGTTTTGGTTGTTATAAAATTATATGTTCAACAAACATTTTTGGAATAGTTCTTATACCTTATAAATATTTCAGTCAAGTGAACGTAAATAACATAAACCCTGTTATTTCATTTGTCTTCTTTTAGCACTAAAATTCTACAATAATGCATCTCCATTATAAGCATAAACACACAAAAAATCTTCATATAATAAACTATTCTACTCATCTGGATAAACTAGATCAAAGTCAGTGTAATAGAAGGTACTACATTACCCAACTTGTTAAGAGTGTTTAAAAAATACTGAACACCCTGAAATTAATATATTTCGCCTTTTTATTTTGAATAAACACTAATGGAAAACGCGAATGCACTCATACTTTCAGCTTAAACAACACATTTTTTTAAATAAATTTATTTGCGTATTGATACAAATATGTTAAAAATAAAAACATAACTATATAATACGCACATTTACTTTTTACTCGCCAGAATTATACCATCATATTTCTGCTGGAACCATTTCATGGCATCTTCCTTGGTTAATCGATGAGGGAAACCAACCTTTCCTTGCTTTCTCCTCCTGTGGGCCACATTGAATCCAGGTCGGCCCAAAACGACATAAAAATCTAACCCATAGATACCAATACTAGGGTCGTATTTAATTCCAAGATCAATGTGTTCTTGGATACCAAATCCAAAGTTGCCAGACGCTAAAACACAAATTGTTACATTTTAACAAAAGACTCACTAAAACACGTACCAGAGAAATTGTCACGCCTTAATTCGTACTCTCGTACTTTCAGGCCCCTTTCCAAAATCTCTTCAGCTTTGGCGCCGCGGACTGTACAATGTACCGCAATTTTTTCATTACGCCTGATTCCAAATGATCTTACGGTATATCTGGCTTTGGAAAATACAGGTTGCTGTCCAGTCAGTTGTTCCAGCACCTATCAAATAGAGTATTAACTTGGATGATAGGCGCTACACGTTGTTATTACCTTCGCTGCTCGAGTTAATCTGTCACCAGATTCTCCCACACAAATGTTTAAGCAGAGTTTGCGAATGTGAAGATCTCGCATAGAGTTCTTCGACTTGTCTTTGATTTCCTTTTTTTCCTTCTTTGCTACCGGCTAAAAAAAAGAATAGAACATTTGAGGTTATGAAAATGATATAAATGTTGAAAAAGCAACACTGAGAAAGCAAAATTATTAAAATTGATTTTATCAGCATACAATTACTTGGTGTACAATATATTACTAATATTTAATAGAAAGCGAACATAAAAACAAAATCACATATTTATCGACACATGTTATGATTGGCTCTTCTGAGTGAATTTAACAAAAATACACAAGAAAAACCATAAAGCACTTCTTTTACGACACAACGAATTATTTTTGAACAATTTTGGTTCTCTATATTGCTCGATGATTAAAGAAATTGGAAAATTGGAAGTAAAAACACGAAGACATACCGCCATTGCTGTATTGAAGAAATGTAAAAAGAAAGTCGGTAATACAGGATCCTAGTCAACGTATTTTGACATTTTGCTAGTGTTTTCACTTGCAGCGATTGGTAGACCTGTTAGTTACTATAGCAACCGGGAGGGAAAAGTCAAACTTGGTGCATCATTGCTTTCTGTCAAAATAAAATAAGTTAACGAAAATGGAAAAGGACGAAGAGGATGAGGCTAGCAAAAATGAAGATTATGAGCCGACTGTATTTTCTCATAATCCTACAGAACGGATAATGGCTCGACAAATACGAATACAACGACGTGTTGATGCCTTGCGCAAGTAAGTAAGCAAAAGTTTCGAAGCGACGGAACACCGCTTCGAAACTTTACCAGTGTTCGTGAATTATATGTGTTGAAAAAGATAAATATGTATTTAAATATCTTTCTTATACAGTGAGAAAGTGAACAGTTACAGAATTATTCAAGTGACATAAAAATTAATAGCTGAAAGTCATAAATAAGTAAATGTTTACAACTAAATTGGTGTAGAAGTAGGAATTTTTTTCCAAGTACCCTTATTAGTAAAACTATTTTATGAATTCATTTCCAATGTATAAGTTCAAAGTTCAAGAGTTTTGACAAATCGGTCTAATTTAAGCTTTTAACGTCACTGTATTTATTCAATATAAATTTTGCACTGAGAATTTAAACTTTGCGAAATTAATATAATCCGTTTTGCCACGTGTCAAGTTTTTTTTCACTTTAGAACCGTTAAGACCACGCTAAAACAACTATTTGTTTGCAACATTTTTCAGAAATTAGAAATTCTTTTCACAGCCTCATAAGATTTGAAAAACCTGAGATTTTTTTGTTTTTTTTTTATAATTACTTTTAGTTTTTTGTAAAATTCTGATTGATTTTTAAAATTGAAATACAATTGAATTGTACAGTATTTCATTATGGCGATTATAGTAGTTTACAATATTGATGTTTATTTAATTTTCATTGATAAAAAATGTAAAATTTGTAAACATAAAAATGTTTAAAACTGAGTGAAATAAAAAAACACTCACACTTTATTTTATAATCTGCAACTTCTATTTCAAAAGCAGTTATTTTAATATAACGGGCATTCAGTTGAAAAAGTCATCAAGTTGGCGTTGCTTTTTTGATAGAAGAAAACGTAGCGAGAAACGCATGTGTTTTATTAATTCATACTGTTACGTATAACTGACATTTACGTGTTGCCGGTCATCATCGATTAAATTTTAGGTTTATTGCAGACATACCTACTTTACAATGTTTACAAAAAATTGAGACCAACTTGATGACTTTTTCAGATAAACACCCGATATGTTCGAACTGTCGTAAATTTAATTTCACTCCACCGTAATTTTTTGTTAATAAATTTTATTTTGGGACACCTGTATACGGAAAACGGCAGTAGCAGAAGTTAAAACACTTTATATTGCTACTCAAATTGTTACTGTATCGATATCCCAACTAACAAGAAAGCTGCTGAATGTAAAATAAATTGGCAGACATTCCGTACGAAAAATTATTGAACTCAGTAAAAATTAGTCGTAGCAAAACATTGTATTGTATTATTTCATCTGTCAATTATACTTATTTTCAGATTCTCTTTAATTAACATGCATGTTCCATATATTTCCGAGTTTATTTCTTATCCTGGTACACTTTGCACAACCCTCTTTTTTTCAATTAATTTGCTGTCTTTTTGTTTTTAAGTATGAGATTGACAGTCACATTATTTTTTCAATTTATTTTTTACATACTTTGTTCTTATAATCTTCACTTATATTTTTGTTTACTGTCGTTTTCTGTTTAGTATATGCATTCTTTCCCGTCCCCTTTTCTCCGCATTTATATTCCTTTTTAAACATTCTTTTATACATTTGTACATTAATTATTTTTTTTTTAAGTTTTAATTATCTGTTGTTGCTCATATTCCTTCTGTTATTCTGCTTCAAGGCAGTCTTCCTTTGCAATGGCATATCTTACCGTACAAAGGAGTTTTTTTAGCTAGCACTCAGGAAGTAAAGTAATTGAGTCCATCGGCCGACTCCCTATTGTTATGATTTCTCGACCTTTCATGACCCGTACGGTACGAAGAAATAGGTCTCCCGTTCCCGTCTGTCTGTCCGTCTGATGTCATCTCCAACATTTAGAATAATATGTTTTTTTAAATATTATAAAATAAGATACTCTTGAACTTGTGATGTATAAATCCGTCTTGAGTTTACACTGTAAATATCCAGATTTTTGGAAAAAAAATCAAAATCGTATAACATTTTGCAATTTAACGTTGAAACTGCAAAACCGAGTGCTCTGAAATGCGTCTTAAGGTTATTGTAAAGATAGTAAATCGTCATTCAGAATTTATTCGTTTATCTGTTTTGTAAAATAATTCCTATCTAAAATATGCAAAATATGATGAGTTTATAGTGTGATTTATTACTCCATTAACAATTTTTAGAATTGCTTATACCTAGAGGGTGACTCAAAATTAATGAGTGAGTCGATTTATTTTATTGATTAAATCAGAAACTGCAAAACCGAATGTTTTGTAATCTTGCAGACATTTTAAAGTTATCGTAAGTATAGTAAATTTGTAATCAAAGTATACAAGTATCTATTTATCCCCTCCAAAAAATTGATGACGTCGTCTCAAAATTTTGCCGAATAAATTCTATCTAAAGTGTGCAAAATATGATGAGTCTATATACTTGTGATTTATTATTCCATTCACATTTTTTTACATGTATGTCTTTCATTAAGGGGCCTTAGCCTATTGAAAGACTTATTAATTTTTTAGACTTACTTATCCCGGGTGGCTCAAAAAAATTAATGAAAGAGTCAATTTATTTTACTGATTAAACTAGGAACGGGTCACTCCAATTTCCCGAAAATTGGGGAATGCAATATTGTTATTATTAGTATTACAGTGTACCTATCCAAAGCGAGAGCGAAGTTGTCTATTTGCAAAAATGTTGATGACGTTATCACAAAGTTTTGTTAGGGAAAAATCATTTGAAACCCTACCTGTAGCACGCTTTTTCATATTTATTTTAACATTATATACAAATTTTTATTTTAACTTATAGGGTTTCTCATAAAAAATAAAATTCGCAAAATCAAATTTTAGAAATTTTCGAAAAAGCTGGATGTTGTTTATTGTACTTCAGGGGCGAGGGAAGTTCTGTTTAAATAACCTTCGACCAATTTTTTCTTGTTCTGTTATTTCTAGGTTTTAACGACGTTCACCCAAACATTTTTATAAATATTTTAGCGACATTATTTTCTTCGTTTAACATTTCATTCAAACAACTTCTAATGCCAAATTCCTTCCTTAATCTCTTCTTCAAAAAATTCTTACTCTGACGAAATAGCAACTGGAAAATTGAAATATTATAATTGCCTCTACAACTTCACTTCTCCAATTTCTTTTGCATGTTTTCTTTTCAATGTAGAGTTACGTATCCACATTTAATTTTTTTTTCCTTTATGTCGTACAACTTATTTTATAAAATTATTTGATACATCCCATTTATCATATGTTTACCTGTGATAACTGATAACGACTTCTTTTGTGTTTCGTGGACTTTGGTTTCTTTTTAGTTAATGTATTTTTCTTATTCCTTTGTAATTCATTCTACAATATTTCTGTCTGTCTTTCATTTCATGTCATTTTTTTTTAAATTTGCCTTTCTGGTTTCGTTTTATTTACCTACTTTAATTTTTAAATTTTTCTCTTACTAAGTTTTTTATAATCTTGGATATTCTGTTTCAACAGTTGTTTGTATGTCAGTATAATTTTGTTTTTTATTGTGCTTTTAATTATTGTGCATTTTTTATTTTTGATCATTCTCAGGTATATTTAAAGTTGTCTACTGCCGAAAATGCGTTTCTTATTTTGTGGTGTCATATTATTTTCTTACTTATTTGTCTCACTTCTCACAGATGTTCAGTTTAATTTTTTCCTACGCTACATGATTGAAATGTCACAAGTCTCGTCCACAAGCAATTCTTTTATCTATATTGAATTTTATTTGTGCTCTAGTAATAATTAATTAATTGTAGTAACTATTTTTTATTATTTAAACACTATAAAAGCTAACATCGAGCTAGCTTTTATAGTGTTTAGCAAAATTAAAAGGATCAATAAATAATAATAACGGACTATTTCCCAAAATGATTTTTCAAGGCAGATTTTGGTAAATAATATTTTAGTGTCATTAGTGCTGCTTGTAGTTTTATAAGTTATTGACTGAAGCGTAGATAAAAATGCTCAGTATGTCGTGGCACACTCTTCCTTATTTTATCTCGTCAGTTTTTCTCATGTTTTGTTTTCTGTTTTGTTATGAATAGATATTCCTTCCCTTATGACCTATGAAGGTAAGGAAGTCGACAATCCTCAGGATATAGTCAATGCCTTTTGCCATTATTTTAAGAAATCGTTTGTGTTTGACTCAGATCAATATACTTCAGTTGTTAATATGTCAGCAAATAATCTTTTAGACATCAAACTTATAGACGAAAAAACTGTATTTAATGCCATAAAAAAGCTTAAATCATCTATGACAGCAGGCATGGATACAATACCGTCATTTTTGATTAGAGATTGTGCTAGTGTTCTATCGAATCCTCTAAAAGTGATATTTAATCTCATTCTAAGAACGTCAGTATTTCCTGATTTATGGAAAAATTCTCGGGTCGTTCCAGTATATAAAGCCGGACAGAGGAATGAAATCAGTAATTATCGACCAATTACGCTTATTAATAATTTCGCGAAAGTTTTTGAGTATGTCTTACATTCACAAATGTACACGCATATAGCTACATATTTATCCCCACAACAACATGGATTTATAAAGGGAAAGTCAACTGTTACCAATTTGTTTCTTAAAACACAGTATCTTGCTGATTGTATAGATAGACGCAGCCAAGTGGACTGCGTTTATACAGACTTCTCGAAGGCTTTTGACCGAATAAACCATAGGATACTTCTGAATAAAATGGAGACTTTTGGGTTTTCTAATTCTCTGATACAACTTTTTCGTTCATACCTTTCTCATAGATATCAATATGTGTGGTATAAAGGTCATTCGTCGGCAAATTTTACACAGAATTCTGGGGTTCCTCAGGGCTCCGTCTTGGGACCGTTGTTCTTTAATATGTACATATATTAACGATATTGTGGATCAACTGGACGTGCAGTGTTTGTTATACGCAGATGATTTGAAAATCTTCCATGAAATAAAAAGCATGGAAGATTGTTTAGTTTTACAGAGAAATATAGACTTGGTTCATATTTGGTCAAAAAAAAATCTACTACCTCTAAACAAATGCAAGTGTGTGATCAAATCCTACAGTAAAAAAGTTAAACCGATTGAATTTAAATATAACTTAGATGGAGTAGTGCTGGAACGTCCAGAATTTGTTAAAGACCTGGGAGTAACCTATGATTCCAAGCTGAACTTTATTGAACATATCGCAAAGGTGAGGGCATCCGCTAATAAAGGTTTAGGGTTTGTTATTCGTAATTCTAGAGAGATAAGGGATTTTAATGTTATGCAACTGTTATATTCCGCACATGTTAGATCTAGACTAGAGTATTGCTCTGTTATATGGAATCCAATTTATCAAGTGCATGTAGAAGGTATCGAAAGAGTACAAAGACGTTGGCTGAAATGTTTGGTGTTTAGAATAGATGGTGAGTATCCATGTAGGGGTACTCCTAACGCTATCCTCAACCAAAGATTTAAAATGCGCAGCTTAGAATCACGAAGAAAATGTGCATATGGTATTTTATTATATAATATTGTTAACTACAATATTAAGTCGGAAAACATTTTGGAGTTAATAGGTTTGAATGTTCCAAAGAAGAACTTAAGAAATAAAATAACTTTTCACCAAAGCATACCAAGATCCAATGCCGCGAAAGCCTCGCCGTTATACCAAATGTTGGAGTTCCATAAAGATATTGAGCGAAGTCTGGACATATTCGATTGCAGATTGTCTGAAATCAGAAATTGCTCCATTTGATTGAAATATAATTCATTTAATCTTAGTAGAATATAATAATATATTTAAGGAGTTTAATAGTAATTCTATTCTGTTGTATAATATTTTTGTAATTTGTTAATTGTATAAGCAATGCCCCTTAGTAATTGGGCTCTATGCCTGTTAAGGGACTAGAATAAATAATAATAATAATAATAATAATAATGAATAGTTGTATTTATTATCTCCCACTATAGTATACTCAGAACTTTATTTTTGTATCTGCTAAACTTTTAGTGTCTTATATGAAGTTAAGAACGGTAATAAGTAACTGAGTAAACAGACCTTAATAAATGACACTATATCAATAGCAGATCGGTTTTTTTTTTAAATTTCAGTGTGCCGACAAACACTTAAAACTCGTGTTTCACTGGACCCAAGTTTTTGCTTGAACAGTAATTATGTGTGTGTTTTAAAAAAGAAACAAAGGATGATCATATTTTGCTACTTTATGAATAATACTGAAGGCTAACTGGCAAGGGTTTACCCCCGTCATGAATCCTGCTGCTGTGTCGTTCAACGCCTTATAATATGTGTTATATGTGTTATATGTGACATAAAATTGTAGTTGATTAAAAATAAAAATAAAAAAATAACGTTCTGAATATAGTCTCGTATCTTCGAAACCTAAAGGAGGGGTTATATTATTTCTTCTGGTTTTTCGTTTTTAATTTGTATGCGATAAAGTAAAGTAAAGGGGAAGTATTGTAGTAGGGTTCATTTGGTGAACGACTACAGCACATATAACCTTCGAAACTGCTGGACTGATTGTTGTATAATTTTATATGTATTTTAGGAAATTGTGTAGATGGTAACACTCGAACCAAAATTTGTCTGATTATTCCCACTAAAATTTAATGACGTCTCCTCGAAATTTTGCGTAGTAAATGCTGTGTAAATTTCATAAAATATTTCTATTCTCTTGTTAATTATATGGCATTTTAAAACTGAACTTAGAAATTGAAAAAATGAATGGTCTGCAATTTTGTAAATGTTTTAAGGTTAGGGTAAGGATGGTAAATCGATAATCAAAATTTAAGTTTATTCCCCCCAAAAAACTTGATGTCCTTTCAAAATTTTGCAAAGTAAATCCTATCAAAATACGCCAAGTTCACACTTGTGGTTTCTAAAGTGTTTACATTTTTAGAATTGTTTATGCAGGATGACTCAAAAAATTAATGAATGAAGCAATTTATTTTATTGATGTCAACACAAAATTTTGTTATGGAAAAATACATATCTTTAACTCAATTGAGATTGGCATTGAAAAATTACATTATAAATCAAATTTTCTAATTTTTTGTTGTTATTTTATCTTTCTTCTGTTTCGTCACAGTTTTTTAAACTTTTCAACCTAGTTCTTTATTTTTTTCCGTTTTAAGACGTGTTTTGCTTTTCGAATTATTTATGTCTAGTGAAGACAGTTAAGTTTATTGTTCGTACACGTTTCTCGGCCGTATTATGTAGTGGCTGATGTTTGTTTGATATAATGTTGATCTTGTATATGTTATGTTCTGAATATGTAATCCTTTTTAACTACTTTTTTTACTAATAAAATAGTAGACATTTCAAACTTTGAGTAAAGTTTATTTTTGTGTTAATATTCGTTTAGAGCGAAAGAACTTGTTGAAGCTCAAGAAAGGGCTGGAGATAACGTCACATTAGAATCTGAAGTTCCTAAAACTAACATTGACCTACAAGTTGACAAGAGTTTAGAGCTCCTGGAGAAACTGATTTTAGAAGGAGAAGAGCATGTGACCAACGTTAGAGTGGCAACCGAAGCTCGAGAAGCAGATCGACGTGAGCGTGAAGGTTTTGGTAAAGGAAAATTACTGCAGCAACTCGAAGAAGAAGCTGCATCTGCTGCCGATATGTTTAATGAAATTGCAGAAAAGTGGAGTGGCATTTTAAAATACAACGACCCACTGCATATAAGTGATGATATTCAAAGCCAAAAAGAAAAATGTGACGAACTTATTAAGGAAAAAAATGCGATTATTGCAGACTTACGAGAAAAATTAAAGAAGGCTGAAATTAATTTTGCAGTTGATCAAAGAAAGCAAGTTGAAGATGTTAATTCAATCGCAAAGAGAATTGAAAATCAGGTAGTGTTTTGATTTAAACCCCAAAATTGGGAAAACTGATGAGTTTATTGTTTTAGATCATCATTATGAGAAAGGCATATAGACAGGAACTTCAAATGGTTGAAGATGTTATAAAGGCTGAACGTCAAATTTTAATTGAAACTAATAACAAAAAGTGGGATGAACTGCATAAAAAGCGCGATCAAGAAGAAAAGAGTAATGCCGATTTGAGATCGGAAGATTATTGGAAATTTGTCCAAGACATGGACAATGTGAATCGCGATTTTCAGGAACTCTATCGTACAACCACAATCAAGCTGGAAAATGAATGTGATGAATTGCAAAGAGAGTATGAACGTATAAAGAGAGATGCGATCATGAACAGTGAAAAATTAGATTACAATTACCAAATTTTAAAAAAGCGAGAAGATGAAAACCTCATTATCAAATCTCAACAAAAGCGCCGAATTAATAAGTTACAGGATATTATTAATTCATTGAGAAAGAAAAATAATGATTACCACACTCAAACAACTCAACAGATTGAAAAATTGACTGTAGAAATTAAAAAATTATGTAAAAATATTTTGGATATTGAAAACAAAGCTGATCATCTTGCTGCAGTTAATAACGAAAAATTTAAAAAAATTTGGAATATGAACAAGAAACGAGCGGATGAATTGTTTACAAGAGTTCTAGACATTGATAAAGTTCTGCACGAACAACAGTTAGGATTAGAGTGGACACCACCTGAGTATAGTTTACCACCTAAGATGCTGCTAGACACTACCAAAACGACAAGCACAACTAAAATTAAAAACAAAACCAAGTCGACTTCCGCAGGATTCGAAGGAGATTTAGAACAAGACACTGATTATGAGAATAGTGTCGTCTATAAAAGAACAATTAGACACATATTAAATTTAATTGCTGATAAAACTGGATTCTTAATTGAGGATGTGTTACACAAAATTCTAGAACCGTATTTAGAGTACGAACGAACTTTGGTAAAAGTAGACAATGTTTTCGCTGTAAGTATTTGTATAACTGTAAAAATGAATTATCAATAATGAGCAATACATAGGCCCTTCATCTTAAAGAAAAAAGTAACATTGACGTTCTTTTTGAATTTTTTTTTCCGTATATGTTTTGTCCTATATGTAATGTGGCACCCGAGAAAATTACTGGCGAGGACGAAAGTGTAGTGCATGTGCACGAAATGGAACCTGTGAATCTTGCAGAGTTAACATCTGGTAAGTTTACGTTTTTTATTTGTCCGTTGAAAGGTTTCTATAATATAAGGAGTATTATTTTATAGAGAACAAGACTAAGTCCAGTGATGGAGGAACCGTTGACTTATCGATCGATCTACAACATGTTGATCCTAGCCAAGGGGGTACTATTGTAGAAGTTGGTCCACTGACTGTTACAATTTTTGATGAAAACTTGAAAGGAGAATGTCGTGGCCCTGATAAATTTGCCGATGAAAAGTACGTAGTTAAAATGGTAACTAGGTGACTCTTCCTCAGTTCATCATTTTGAGAAATACAAAAAATAAAACTGTTAAATTTCAACTATTACAAATTAGCGGGCTTTGCGGGGGTGCTATTTACACCACTGTCCGTGATTAATTTAGCAGACAATTAAAATATAGAATATGTGCCCGTGATTGGTTAAAACATGCACGTTGCATAGCAACGGATCTCAATTAAAAGTTAATCGCGAATTAACTTCAATTCGCTTTCTATAAACCGGGTCTATAAGTTTTAAGTTTTAATGATATATGTATTTGCAGCGGTTTCCATGTTACAAGAGGGGACCGACTTTATGGATGCTCTCTATACAGTGCTTCACTAATAACAAAATGTTACTTTGTCAGTCTACTTATCTCTACGGTTATAACATTATTTCGTTTTTGTTCCATATATGAGCATCCTCAGATTTAAGTTTATTTTAGTCTGTCTCTTTAGCGTAAGGATGGTAAAAAGGTCCATCCGACAAATGGCCACTTTGATGTTTTTTGAACATCTTATGAGATGACCTCTAGATTATGAAATAATAGGTTTTCCATCTATCTGCCTGTCTGCCTGTCATTTGTTCTTCATCTGTGTCGATTTTCATTACACAGAGTTCGAAGAAATAGGTCTCCCTTTTCCGTCTGTCTGTCTGCCGTCACGGATTTTTATTAGACAGATAATCTCCGAAACTACCGGACCGATTGTTGTTAAATTTTACATAGGTATTATCATGTAGATGGTAAAATGCTTACCAAAATTTGTGATTATCTTTATCCACACTGTAATGACCGCCCCTTACAATTTTGCTTAGCAAACGCCAAAATAATATACTCTTGTATACTTGTGTTTTGTGAATTCTCCATGCTTTTGTTCAATATTGTGATACGTAGCTACGTAAATCTGCTCATATACCTATTTGACAGGCACCTGTTTTGTATATGAAAGGTCTCCGGTTCGATGGGAAAACTCACTGGAAACACAGACTTGCACTTTATGGATACATTCAAACCAACCATTGAAGGTCACCCGATTTCCCCAATATTTTCAGTGTGCAACAGTCCAAGTAGCATACTATAACTATTGCAATTAAAGTTAAAATAAATACATGCAGTCATCGATAGATAAGTGTGACATTCCGCGCAGACCAAATATAAACAAGACAACAGACTGTGTTTTCGCAACATAATGCGTTCGAATCAAATTCAGTGGCGGAATATGGGTGATTAAAGTAGGATACATTCATGAATTCAGAAAAGCAAACTCCCAAAAATATGTCATTAAAAAAAAGTTGGATGTCGTAGAGAAACAAAGAAATTATAAGGTGTTAAAAATATACAGGATGTCGTTTAATTTCTTACACTGTTACTGGTATTATCTATATATTTGTAATATACATACGTTATTACCACATTTCAGCATCGCGGAAGTGATTCTCATTGCTGTCCGAACGCCATCGCTATTGCAGTCGTAGCCTATAACTTCAGAAATTCTTAAGAGCAGTCGCTACGTTTGGCTCTTATTGTATTGTCAATATATTTTCAAAATGTAATATCTCCATTATTAACACACTACTTATTGTTATGAAAATTTAAATATAACTTGTTCACAACTTTTACTATGTAATATGCGAGGACAGTTTTTTTAAACAGTTTATTATCAGATATTTTTTTAATTTTATTGAAATTTTTGCATCGCCTATTTTAAAAAATCGATATGTCAGTTATTTATGGAAATTTTGGGACGCGATTTTTACTACTGTTTTCAATTTACAAAACTTTAGAAATCGTACCAGATATATTTTCGACTTTATTTGTTGGAACCGAGTAAAAAATAAACGTTTACCAGTTTCTACGCCATCAGCTTTTTTTACTGTGTATGACTTCTAAAAAAAAAAGTCGACAATATATTCTAGTACGATTTCTGGAGTTTTCTAAGCTAAAAACAGTGTTGAAAACCGTGTTCCGAAATTTCCTTAAATAATTGAGATATTGATTTTTAAAGTAAGTAAGTAATAAAAATACGTTATGCAAAACTTTCACTAAAGTTTAAAAAAAGTAAAACTGTTTTCAACAAAACTACCCTTGCAATATATAAAGAAAGTTATGGACGGGTTATATTTAAATTTCATAATCATAAGTCTGTTAATAATGGAGATATTACATTCTAAAAATATACCGAAAATTCCCTGCAGAAAACGTAGCGACTGGCCTTAATAACATTTAGTACGTTTTCTCGGTTTTCCTCAGTTATACGAGTTCTCCTAGATGTTAAAATGCTTTAAAAATTAACAATGACTGGTCAACATCACAATTTTCGTGATGATCTTGATTAGATAAACTCTGATTTGCATCAAATGCCACTGAGGTTGTGACGTGGTTGAGACTGCATCGTGGGCCAGCCAAATTTATCACTTTGTCGCGTCGTCGTTTTTAATACAGGGTTAGTCACGAGAGAATTACTTCTGAAAATTAATTTTAGGCAACCCAAAATACGAATATCATGTACCATTTGATACTAACTGAATTTAAAATGAAATGCTTAATCCATGATTGCTTTGAGTTTGACAATCTCATTTTGACAATTGTGGAAAAGTAGGTTACGCGAGTGTCCATGGTGGTACCGCAGCCAGTCGGAAATCTCCTCCGGCGCCGCTAATAAATTTGTTAGTGTGCCTCTTGATCTTTTGCAACCGATTAATCACGAGAAAATTATTTCTAAAAATTTCTTTTACGGCATTTTATTCAAAGATTACAACACAAACTCAAACAAGTAAGTAAATAATTTAACTACTAATCGGTTGAAAATGTTGGGCATTTTGGGGGGATGCTACGGCTTTTTTGTAAATGGATGGCCGAAGAAGTCCAGAGGCTGCAGATTTGCACTTCGAAGAGGCTCTAGGTGACGCAGACATGGTGAATTAACACATGTACATTAGCGGCGAACAACATTAGTAGAGCACTTACGGCTTCAGTATAGCCCAGATTGATCTGACTGTATGTCGTCGATCCAATGGGGCTCTAGAGGCGAGTCAACGATGAAAACATTTTTTTTTAATTAATTAACGTCAAAGTGACACTGCCAAAGTCAAAGCAATCATAGATTAGGTATTTCTTTTTAAATTTAGATAATATCAAGTGGTACAGGGTATTAGTATTTTGGGTTGCGTAAAAATAATTTTCAGAAGTAATTCTCTCGTGACTAACCCTGTATTTTTCTGGGGGATTGCCGGTCACTTCCGCTGTGCCTAACTTTGCTTATTAACTTATTACAAATAGTAGTTTAAAAAATCAGATTTTATCATTTTTCAAAGAAACGAAATTTGTTGGACAGGGACGAGAGAACTTCAGTTGAAAGGTTCCTGATAACTTTTAATAAACCCAGCACTAAACTGAAAAACCTGTTTTTGCTTTCTAATTTTTGAAGTTTTTGACACAATATGGCAATTTTATTTTACTTTAACTCTAACGAAAATTTATTTTTATCCTTTTCAAATTAAAAAAAATTACACATTTCTTCATAGATAGATATAGATTTGAAGCCAGTTGAGTTTTTTCTTTTTTCTTTTTATTTATCACAGACAGAGGATACTTTTGATTTGTTATTAGATGAATCGATGAGTGAATTACTACACGTATTTGATCTCCACTTTTATTTTCAGTGCAAAAGATGTCGAGAGTTACTCTTTGTCGGGAGATTTACGTACTGGAACTATTCTTTGTCAGTATCAACATCCTCTCATGATAAGCTCAGTATATGTATTAAAAGCACTGAAAGAATTTCTTTCTAAGTACCACATTCCTAAAGCCGGGTAAGTACAAATTTCTTTGCTTCATGTTGGAAGTAGACACAAAAAATATGCGTGTACAGCACAGTATATTTATTTTTTTTTTCTATAGTAACACAAAAATAGTAAATAATACTGAATGTATGTACGTATGTAGTAGGAATGTTTGGCGACCAACGCACATAGCGTAAGATAATGTGATCATTGATTAAAATATTTTTTATTTTTTAGTATGCCCACAATGAGTATAAGACTTGGTTTTAAAAGGAGTACCATGTCACGATTAATACTGCCCGGAGATGTGGAAGTGTACTGGGAAAAATATCTTAAACTTTTTCCGGACGACAGAGAACAACTGTGGAACAGTCTTTTGGAAGGTTTAAAAAAGTACCATGAGTTATTGAAAGGTCAGTTTAAAATTTGATTTATTCATTATCTAAAGTATCAATTTATTACTAGCTCGCAAAACAGCTAGTGAAGAAGTGGTCAGCTTGCGTCGACAAAATTTAGACCTGAGAAGAGTCTTTGCTAATTATATCCATAAAAACGATATACCTTATTAATGTACATCCTCTCGAAAAGATAAAAATAAATTTGTACGTCAGCAATTGATGAAACATGTTTATGGTCCCAATTAAAAGGACGTATCGATTTCATACATGAACGAGATGGTATCGATTCAACAAGCCCCTACTTAGGGTCAGTAAATAAACAGTTTTATTGACAAAAACCTTAACTCAAAACGACCGTCCGGTCTAATTCATCGCCAAACATCGGTAGAATTGGGGTACAAACGACAGGGCCGGTCTGGGTGGTTTCTTATCTCTGTTATCCATGATTGATAACAACAGGATGAATGTCGGTCCCACCCAGGTCGATAATCTTAAAATAAAGGAGCGTTTATCGGGTATTATTTCAACCAACAGTGAGGCAAGATGGTAAGAAAAGGACAAATTTTGTTAGTGAATGGTGAGTGTGAATACCTGCAGTTTTTTCAATGTGCGAAAATGCTGAACGGTCTATATGAGTAGAAGGGTTGAGTTCTTGTTTTTATGGATTTTCTTTGGCAGGAACTAATAGTAAATGTACGAGCGGGAGAGGAAGTGACACTTTACAGGAAACTGCTTATTAAATATTGTGCAAAAGACACAATGAGGTGCTTAAACATCAATATTTGTTTGACAGCTCTGACGGTGGGAAAGCAGTGGCGGAAACAGACACTTCGATAACTTTTGCGAAACGAAGATTATGATCTAACAAAATTTTGTAGTACCTTCCAAAGAACAAAAAAAGATCTTTTACTTTCAGGGTTACAGCTCAGCACGACTTTTTTGTTTGTAACATAACACGCACTGAATTTTGTCGGTTCATGCCTACCAAAAACTGATTACGTTGTCTCTGCTGTCGGATTTATAGAAGGATAAGACACTGGTTCCTAATGCTTCTTTTTATTTTTAAATAGTTTCGTTTTGTATTATTTGGAAATATTAAAATACAAAATTATCAAGGACAGAAAAGTACCTAAATTACTCGCTTTTGGCACAGATTGCCAGTGGAGTCGTTAAGCATGTATTCGCCATCTCAAAAAATTTCACGCTACATTTGAGAAATACGTCTGAAGATGTGATAATCGTACTTGACTTTGACACAAAAAAAACCTTTACTTCACTTTAAACAAATCTTTAAGATCATTTGAAAAATTATTGCAGCGAAAATAAGACTTTTGTTGTAGGTACAATTTTATCACTGCAGACGCGATTCTTTTGTCATTTGTAAGGTACGCTGTTGTAATAGATCATATTACAAGATTTACGGTTTTGAAATAATGGATATTGGTCAATTAAAGTGTGTGAAGTTTATTTAGTTCAGATTACGTTTATATGATTTACGTATAGGAGTCAAAGATTTAGTGATGAATGTTTTTCCTAAGTTAGTACCATAACTCTAAAAAGTCCATAAAGGTATTCAAATATTCCCTATTTTAAAACCAGAACATACACAACATACGTTGGGCAAGTAGGCGTTTCATTATTAATACAGAAGTTATTTCAAAGTATTTTAAAAATTAAATTTTACTAACGTTATCAACACGACATACGATAATTAGTAATTTACTGCAGACATTCTTTAAAAATGGGAAAATGATCTGGAAAAAACTAGGCATAAATAAATGGAGGTTCCTTAACAATGTTTTAGGAATACATTAGGTACACGTTACTGCAGTAATTAATAGTTTAGGTACGCAATGTTTGCGGAACCCATTGGTAATTACCCATATCTTATATCCCTCACTAATTTACTGCTGTATTGAAACATTGAAGATTTATAGAAAGATGATAAACAGAGTGACAGTGATAGTAAGAAAGTATACAAACTTGACTGATGAAAAAGCTGAAATAGGGATGAAAAAGACTTCTTACTACCTCCAAAATCCAGGCATTTGTACGAAGAAACATACGATCTTAATTGGAAGTGGTGCTTTAAGAAGAACATGAAATCAACGTCTTAAGACAGTATTTTGGCGAACTTTCTTTCAAAAATCCCGCTTCGCTGAAATTATGCCTCATTAAGACAGTTCTCACTTGTCAATAATGTCATTTGAGTGAGAGTGAACGTGTGCCTTGAACAAAATGGTTAACATTTGTAGCATTTACTGTGATATTTAACCGCAATAAATTTGTTTCTTTTTATTGTAATGAATTAGTTTAGATATGAAGCATTTAGGCAACCAGTTATATAGATGCTGGTATTTGTCGTACATCCTTGGGCATTTAGCAAAGTTTAAAACTGAGAGACGGCACGTTTTCATGACCCACTTCGACCCTATTACCATTTATAGAAACCCTGTATATAGTACTTGGAGAGAAATTTCTAGGCAAGAATTGTTTGTAAGAAGATGTTGGTGAAAAAATGTCTGGTAATAGAGAAGCGAAAGCAGTAAAATCCCACAAGGAAAACATGGCATATAATTTTTGTGGTGATAATTATTATGGTATGTTGTGAATATCAGTCATTGCTATCATACCTACCTAGATTTTAGTTCATAATCATAACTTAAGTTAACATGTATTTATAAAAAGTTTAACAAAAACAACTATAAAATAAAGTTATCTTTATTATACTAGTACTAAAAAGTACCACTTTACGACGCAAAAGTATAAAATAAAGTGGTCTTTATTGAGTATTCGGACACAGGGGACTGAAGTGTATCATTTAATTCCGAAGGCGAAAATTTAAAATTATATAAAAATGTAAGCAATACTCGATGCGTCGAGTATAAACACCACCAATGGAATAGAACAAATTGTGTTTTAATTGAAGAAAATAAGTTAAATATCTTATACAAGCTGAAGAAAATCCAATGTCTACATTAACTTGATTCCAACTGCTCTTGCTCTAAAAAATTAAGTCTGTATTTTTGGCGTAACATTGGTTGCATACTTCCAATACATTAATGTGTGTTTTTTTAAAACCGGACATAACGATTATGCCCATACCATCTTTCATATGTTCAGACTTAAAAAAATTTACTAGTAAGAGATATGGTTAAACACCAATATGGGGAAATCCACAGTAGAGGCAATCGATAAAGTACAGAAATATTTGCTATATATACCTATACATATAGGCATTTATAGGAGCAGAAGATTAATGTGGAAATAAAAAATGAGGAAAACATCTGCCGTTATAATACATATATTTACGGAATTATATCCTTGTACAAGTCAAAAGAGATGAACATACATACATTCATACATTATATATACATTGTACACTTTAGTGAATACACTACTTCGTCAAAAACAAAAAACAAAAAACAAATAAATTACAAATAATTTACCAGCTCAGGATGGACTTCACATTTGCTTTAAAACATTTAGGCGGTACATTAAAAAGATCTAGACAGGGATACTCATTTAATAGTTTGCATAATCTGCTAATAGAAAAATGAACCCCATAATTTATTCGATGATTTGAGACATAGAATAAGTCATTATGTCTTACCGAATAGCTTGACACGTGTAGATAAAATTGTTCCAACATACTGGGGCAGTCAATATGATTGTTTAATAGATTAAAGGCAAAGCATACATCAAGATATTTGTGTCGCGTTTCTATTGCAGGTAAACCAAAATATTCTAAAAGTTTTACGTAATCGCTGTTGTTGTAATCTATGTTAGATTTGTACGCTAGGGTTTTTATTATTTTCATTTGCAAGCGTTCTAATCGCTTTTTAGCAGTCTTATAATTAGGTGTCCATATGACTGACCCATAATCAAGCAACGATCGTATGAAACTAACATATAATATAATGATTGGTCGCGTATCAGAGAACTCTTTAGTAATTCTGGTTATGAAACCTAGACGCTTATTACATTTATTGACAACATCATCCACATGATGTGAATAACTTAGAGACCTGTCAAAATATCCACCTAAATCACAGAAAACATCGACATGCTCCAATTTATTACCTTCAATGATATGGTCAAACAGCATGCGCATTTTTTTGCGTGAAAACCTTAAGATTTTACATTTGCTTATGATAATTTCTAAACCGTTTATTTTACACCAGGCAACAAATCCATCCAGCTCTTTCTGTGGTAAGGTGCAGTCAGTATCTGTCCTGATCGTCCGCGTATAACAGAAATCCCGTCTTATCTATAAACTCTTTAAGATCATTTATGTATATATTGAAAAGTAAAGGTCCCAAATGAGACCCTTGTGGGACGCCTGAGGTTACTTTAATATTTTGTGAAAAAAATCCCTTTACCTTGACAATTTGTTCTCGTTCTAATAAGTATGAGCCTATCCATGATAAGAGAGGATCCCTGATACCAGCTGCGTGCAGTTTAGATACTAGTATATTGATATTGACTCTGTCAAACGCTTTGGTTAGGTCTGTGTAGATAGTGTCTACTTCGTTACCATCTTCTAACGCAGTACTTATGAAGTTAACAAATTTGTATAAGTTGGAGCTAGTAGATTTACCCTTATAGAAGCCATGCTGTTCCTCCATTATAAAATTTTTTGTAATTTTCTGCAATTTATCATAAATAATAGCTTCAAATAATTTTGGTATAGCTGAAATAATAGAAACCCCCCTGTAATTCTTGACATCTGATTTAGAGTTGCCCTTGTGTATTGGAACTACATAAGACTGTTTCCAGACTTTAGGAAATTGTGATAATTGTATAGATTTATTAAATATCACATAAAGGGGATACACTAACGATTCTGCACACGCTTTCAAAAAAACTACGGGGATTTTATCAGGTCCGGCACTGGTCTTATCATTTAAAGTGCGGATTTTATTTACAATATCTTCAACCGTAATAACAAAATTGCTAACATCTAATAAATAACCCTGGGGTTCTCGTACATAGTCAGAAGTAGCAGAGAGATTATAATAATTTGACTGAAAGAACGTTGCAAATAAGTTAGCAAAGTCCTGACCTTCTGCCGCTTGAACGTCCTCGAGATGAAGTAAAGAAGGCATAGTATGTTTATCATTCTTGGTTTAGTTTACAAAGTGCCAGAAACTTTTACTATCATTTACCACATCATTTTCAACTTTTTTAATGTAAAGCTCTCTGTC